GCCTCCCTAAGATCTTGCTTTATGGTGAACTTGCCACCGGCGCCACAAGACGAGGGAGCCACCGAGAGGAAGATACAAGGATCCATGAAACATCTCAGCCTTGGCCATATTGATCAACATAACTGGTCTACTCTGGCCTCCAATCAGGAGGTCTGGAGACACACCATCTATAACGCTGCTGATGCTTTTGAGAAAGCACGCAGGATCACTCTTGAGGAGAAAAGACAATGCAGAAAGAATCGTGTCTTGCAGAATACACCATCTAAGGAGTCCTTCTGCTGTGCCTTTTGCAACCAGACATGCCTGTCTCATATTGGCCTTTTTAACCACCAGCGCGCTTGTAACAAACGTGGGTAGAGCCCTTCCCAAATGTTCATTCGCAAAGCCCAGCCATGATGATATATACAGAATGAGAGCCATTCTTGGGATAAATAAACAACATTCTGGAATACATCAATAACAGCTTCATAAACAGCTCACTATATATGGACTGTATTAAGAGCACTGGGACTCAAAACCTCCAGGTTTTCAGCCACAAACTCGATTTTCAAGCTTATTCTTGTCCCTCTAAAGCTAATAAAATGAGCAATTTTTAGAAGTCATTTTTCAACTCTCAAATTATAAGCAGCAAATTCTTACACAAAAGAAGGTTTCTGCAAAAGCTGTAAACTATTCACAGAGACTCTAGATGCATATGAGATATAAAAAGTTCTCAGTGACCTTCTGACAAAGCTTTGTCTAGCACTCTACTATAAAGGGAAAAGTGCAATTTTCCTCTAACTGTACCTTCACATATATTTTCTGAGATCAAGTTATGGTTGAATTGTCATGTTATGGTATTTTCAATTTTCTTCATACATTTTTACAACACACTCACTTCAGCAGTATTTACCATTATCACTCCCACCAGTCAAGGCTGTCTGCATAAGGTGTTATTTGCCAAGAACCTGTTACTTGAAAGGAAGACCTCTTCTGTCTGCACAGCAGATTTGTAGGTGGAGAAAGGGAGCCTTGCAGAGAGAAAAGTGGGGGGAACGAACATAATCACATACTCATGATCCACAAATACCTAAGTAAGGACAGAGCAGAAAATGCACCAGGCATCCTTCTCTAAAGGGACTCAACCACATTCATAAGACACTTTTTTCATGTGTGATAAGAAGACATTGACAGCATGCAATTTCAACTAATTTGTTGTGAAAGGATTGTCATAAAGCTCCCCCAAGGGCTGAAACCCTAACTGTAGATGGACCTATACACAATTTGTGTTATCACACATAACACACACCTAAGTGCTTCTAACCCTGCTTAACGGCTGAAGGAGTGATACAAATCACTACAACACTTAAAGGTTACCCCCAAGAAGATCAGAGGAATACAGATCTGCAGGGAGAAATGCCAAGAACTACACTATAAATAGCATGTCTGGATATTCCTAGCCATATTTTAACTTCACAACGCCTTTAAAGCTTCTGAATGTTCTTAAGCAACATAGTCTAACATACAAAGAATATAGAGAGTACAACTGTTAACAATTCATTGCCAAAAAAAAGGTATATGGACAGAGACTCCACATGACGTTCTTAGTTTGTTCCTATCCCCTATCTCAGTTGCTCTCCCAGAGACTTGAACAAGACAGATGCTTCTCCTTTCACAGACAACATGGAGCTGGGAAGAGCCATCACTGGCCACATGCTGGAAACAAAAATGGCCATGGCCAAAAGAGAAAAAGGTTCTGGACCAAATTAGGATATAATTTGGCAAAGGATATGTGCGCAAACACGATGAGGAAGGTTGCTTATTAGACTGCAATCCACCAGAAAGGATCTAATGGTCAACACAGATCAACAAATTGAACATGAAATCAGCATGTTGTTGATGCCACACAAGTGGCTACCTTTGTAGCAATACTCAGTCTAACTCTGACCACAGTTTTCTTACAGCAGGCTTCAGGATAGCTAACCCTAAACAGCTATCACTTCAAATGGGCAATTACCACTCAGCAGCCAGTAATGAACCATGGACATTTATCCTACTCAAATGTTTGTTTCCTTTACATTGTTAACATTTAGAGTAATACTGAATGTAAAGTACAGCGATAGATTTATGTCAGTGATTTACTGGAGGAAAGAGAGTTTTGTTGCTCACTGAAGCAGTGTTCTTCACAGGACATAATTTCTAGTTTAAGGGGAAAAAAGCACTTCTATATCTGAGGAAGAGAAATAAGCATTAAGTTAATTATGAAGAATTCCAAAACTGTGCTCTGAATAAAGAAGGAATAAAATGAGTTTTGGAGTGAGACAATAAATTTCTTCTGACATCTCAAAAGTCTTGAAAAGAAAGATCACACATAAAAGCTACTACACTCCCCTAAGAAACATATTCAAGTGAATCCCCAAGAATCTGAACCTAAGGCTTATTTCAAAAAAAGGTGCCTGAATGTGAATTATTAAGCAATCCCAGTCCGACTCTCTCTAGCAGCAGCAGTTTGCCTAGGGAGACTTTCACAAATCCTGAGACCTCAACTGCTACCATGGAACCATGTATTTCTCTCAGAGTAAGTAGATTTATGCTTGTGTAAGTAGACTAAGTACAGATTTTGTTTCATTTCGTCACCTGTGTTTTACAAATATGTGATTATGTTATTACATTTAGATATTACAAAGAATACTTTTACTTCTAGTTTACCTCAATCTGTCTTACCTATGGCCCAGCTAACCAGCACAGACTCTGCAGTGTCCACACGTAAGGAAGGTGTTTTCTTTCCCTCTCATTACACAGTTCAGATTCTGGCCTTGCAGGAATTGGACAGGACCCAAGTATACCCAGGGACTCACAGCAACTGAAGAGGCTCTCTGATGTGCAATAGGTTACCAGAGTGCATGCTTATGCCTTGTAGCTATTGGTGCCTGCTGGTGTCTAGGTCACAAGCAGACTTGCTGCTGACTGCTTCCTACACAGAAGGTGTCCTTGCTTACTCCCCACTCATGGGGAACAGGCCATGGGCTCTGAAACCTTTGCATTATTTCAAAGGCAGGTGTACATAGAAGCAAGCAGGGTAATATTATAATTATTATTGAAATGTGGGCATCTAAAATATTTGGAACTTGCATGCTTGGTTCAGAATTCTTGAAATAATATTTGAGATCTAAATGCAAACACATTGCATTAAATATGTTGTACTGGTCTTGGTATTTTTCCTTCCACTGTGTTTACATTCATGTTCAATACAGAAAGACTTTAGTCTTATTTCACAGATCCAAGGAGTAATTCCAGCCAACTGACATGAGTTAGTGGAAACAAACTGAAGTGCTAATGTCCTTTTTGCTGTACTTTATTAAGAAATATAAAAATGGGAAAACAATACCAAACTAACAGTTCCTTTAGTTTCTGAACCTTAAAAAGAATCTTCTGTTCTTTCTCTTATATTGTTGCATTTGTCTAGGGACCGGACAGGGAAAAATGTCAATTACTGTCAGATAAGAATTAAAACCTCAGCTGTGCCTTATGCTCAGTGCAAAATCCCAAAGATAAATACAAAATAATCTTCAGAAAAAAGTGATTTGTAACAAGTCTGTCTGGGGAAAGAACTGAATATAATTTCACAGTAAAATTCAGCTGCTGAGAACTCCATTCAAGAAAAGGAATTGTGAATGCTAGGTAAATGACTGAGTAGATACGACTTTTATCTCAATAACATGTCACAGTAATTGATCGTGTGTTAAGGTAATTCAATCTTCTCAGTGATATAGAACTGAAACTTGAAAAGCAAAACTGTAAGTTACACTTCTGTAAGACTTAAGAGTGGTATGTGAAAAATCTTTCATCTTAAAGCAGGTTGCAATATCTCCCATTCTCAGAAGGAGCACTTTGAGTGATAACGCTTTACGATGTATTTTGGATCATTAAATAACATTTGGATCACAGAGGTTTTCCAATGCCAGCTTCTGAGGCTATTACATTAATAAAGCTATTTTTTCTTACATGAATAACATTAACAATGTAGAGTGACCTTTTTGCTAAATATTAGAATTTTGTATTCTTTCCCTGTGTCAGTTTATTTCAGCTATTTAGCATTGGATCTGTTTGAAAAACAAAAAGGATACACTTAGCAACACCCAGGATAAACACATTACGATGAATCATACATGCTTGCAAGGTGTATATTTCTCCTACAAAAATATTAAAATCATACATAGCTTTGCTAGTTTGTGTGAGACAACATTTTCGCTGTACTTCTATGAGGTCTTGGGCTATGAATTAGCTGTGTCTTGACTGAGTCTGGAGGGACTGTCTTCTAAATTCTAAATACATTCATACCTATTTAAATTTTTCATCTAGTTTCCAAAAGGTTAAAGAAATAACAATACCAAACCACTATTTAAGTGTGACTTATACAAAATCAATACTTTGTTCTCTATCACTGCAAAAACAAATGCAGAAAAACTATGCTAAAATCATACTCCATCACCTGCAAACATTGGAGCCACTGCTTAATCAATATTCTCTTATCTTTGCTTTCCAACAGATAAAGGCTTTAACATGTTAGGCAGTGTATGTTTTTCATAATGTTGAATTCAAAGCTTGCTGAAATCCAATGTTTCCTTTATGAGGGCTCTGGTAGACTTGAATACATCCAAGTAAAACATTTATATGACATTGTACTCAACTACTTCCCTCACCTCTTCTCTTTCCCCTTCTCTTAGGGCCCTGTTTCTTTTTGAAATAATGTCACCACTAGGCTGAAAGCAAATTAAATTTAAACACTATTATCTAAGTTATCTACAAGTGTCCTTAGAAAAATCATAACTCTTTGGTCTATATTTTAATATCAGAGTGGAAAAATTTAACAACCAGATTCTCTCTGGTCCTAACAGAAACCAAATACTACTTCTCTAGCATTTTGCTTAAAAGAATATTTTAAAAAATGAACATCAAAAAAATACTAATGCAAAGCAAATCAAATATCAGAACCTGACTTCAGAAAAGGCTGTACTTACTCCTTATTTCTGCATTTAATGCATGGCTGGTAAAGGACTTTGACAGCATTCCAGGTCCCCACTGGTCCAGAGCTAGGCATGAAAATATCTCCAAACAGTGTAAGAACACTGAGAGAGGAGGAACTTCCTAAAGACTCCACCAGCAATGTGTCAGAATTTAAAAGCCATATCTATAAATGAAGAAATAATTTATTTTACTGTAGATTATATCAATTTCAACTTGTTACTTTACTCTGACTCTAAATCAACTGATACTAAAGCTACATTCTTACAAAGTTTCCAGCAATGTTTTAACAGACATAAATTGACATTTTATTATTCACCACAGTCTGCACAGCGTCTAGTGGAGAAAAAAGGATTAATACAATGAACTGATGCCTGATTTATCACAGTCACTCTTAAGATCATTTCTGTGAAGCTGTCTCTTTTATTGAGTGTAGCACACTTCCTTTGATAGTAACAAAACAGTCCCAAGTCATCTCCTTCAGTAGCAGATGGATTATTTCTCCAATTTCTTTTGGGTTTTTTTGGAGGTAGTCAAGCATATGGTGTTGAGCAACTGAGGGCTAAAGACAGGGAACTGAAAGACTGCTCACCAAAAGTGCCAAAAATTGAGGATTTTTAAAAGTGGTAGTCATGACTAGATGGAGCTAAGACAAGCAAGGAAGAAGACACCAATTAACATGGTCTAAAAGGAACACTGAGATTTACAAACAGCTGTAACAAACTCTTACTTGGAAAATAAATCTTTATCAAATTTCATAATGGGACTGGCATTCTTCAGCACTATTTGCTCCTAGCAATTCAGGGGATATTTACTGGAGTGAGTTTTGAGAAATCTGAACTTTTTGCATCACATTAAGGATCTTATTTGATCTTTGTGTGATTGGGCATCAGTGTTCCGACTTGGAACCAGGGTTTTCATACTAAAAACACTGTACAAAAAGTCAGGCTTTTCCTTTATTCACAGCCTGCAGCAGCGAAGTGATACGAGTTAACAATGGAAATCAATTTTTGCAAGTGCAGAGCCTGTATGAAATGTTTATATATGAAATATTTATCATAGAAAACAGGATTTATGCAGTGCTGCTCACCAGAGAGCAATCTTCTGCTTCTCATGATCTAATCAGCTTCAAGTAAAACAAGTTACATGATGTTAGGTAGCAGACACATGATATCCCCTGGTGGAGGGAAAAAGCCACCATTAACAGGACACATAGTATATGTTGTAATTGAATGTGACAGTCACAATTTATCAGAGCCCAAGGCTCAGAACATTACAGTGGAAGCTTCATAAAGAAGGAATGAGATATATTGATAAAGATAGTTTGAGAGGGATGGGAGGAGGAGAATCACTTTAGCATATGCACATAAATGATGACAAGCAACTGCACTTGGCTTAGCAAGTGGTTGTTCATCAGTTTTGCTCTGGTAACTCAATCTACACATTTATAGCCTAAAGTGCAAAATACACCTCATTAGCTGGGACCATTACACAAGGTGCTTTAAGCCAGGTGCTGAGGAGGTGTTGGAGACAATGGTGAAAAAAGAGAAGTGCCCTTTACACACAGGCCACTCTGAACAATTTTAGTTTTAACGAAACAGAATTTCTTCCTTTTGAAATTACTATCAATTCCCTGTGAAGGAGCTTCCTGGGATGCTTTTCAGAAGGGGAATATACTTCAAACTAGTCTAGGGAACAATGCAGCCAATAGATGTCTACTCCTTTCAGAATCCTTCTGCAATTTGCCTTACAGAAAGCAACTAAAGCATTTCATTTGCAACATGGTTCCATCTGACAAGCATTTCTTTCCACCACAAGTGTTGTATATGGCATCTGACAATTACGTTTTACCACTTGTTCAGAATATGTCTTTGTCTCAACAGCAATGTAACAGGTCTGTATTAATAATTTAGTACACAGTACAGAGAAAGAAAATGGGGGCGGAAGGACTCCTGGCCATGAGAAAATCAACTTCTGAACTGCATTTACTTCTTTTGGCAGTATTTTCATTCTTTTCCTCATGCATGAATTAATTTTGATCTTGCTTTCGGTCTGAACGACCAACCACTCACTCAGACTCAGTGTGTTGACTCAAAGCAGTTTATGTTATTTCTGGCTAAGACAGTTTCATATTTTGATCTGTGCTTTCAACTACGTTACTCACAACGTGCTATCTTTCCTTCCTTTCTACCACTTTGTACAGCAGAGCTTGCACAACCAACTTCCCTTCATATTAACTCCAGTAAGTAAAGAACCTTTACAGAAAGATAAATATATAAAGTTTAGAATTCATTAATAGTGCGATTGATGACTTTTTCTGAAATGACAGCATAAGAAGAAAGTCTCTGGGTTTTTGTTGGGTCTTTTTTTTCATTGTTTTCCTTCACTTTTAAATCACTTTGTCAATAGACCTCAAAGATGTTCTTAGGAGAAAAGCTACAACAATTCTATAATTGTTATACTTCACAAGACTCAATCCAGGTAGTGAAATACTACAATCTTGTGAACAATTAGGCTTCAATTCAAACTTAATATGGGTTAAAAAAAAGCTTTTATTTTTCCTTGCTAGTTCTTTCTTAGTTATTGCAGGCATTACTATTACTTTTATCATCACACAGGTCACTAATGCAAACATCTTTCATTACAGTTACTTTGTCCTCACATTCAGACTGTGCAGGTAAAGATGTGGTTTGCACATATTTCACAAAGAATAAAGGTCGTTAAGAGAACTGGGTGGCTAAGTCTCAACCAGGTTCTCATTAACGCACTTCTTGATCACTGCAACCTCCACCCCTTCTCCAATCTTAACAAATGCAAACTTGTTTTGCACATGCTCTTCAAGACATGGCCTCTTGAAGGTCTCTCCCATTTTGTTACACATTAAATTTCTTGGGATACCTTCCCAGTCACTCCTGAAATACAAGCTGCCTTACTTTCAAGGCACTTTACACTCCGAAAAAGGTCTTTCATTCAGTACTGAAAGACTGGAGATAGTATTTAAACTCTACCACACACTTCTTGATTTTCATAGATGTATCTTTTTGGGTTTTATCAGGTTGATCCCATCCATTATATGAATTCTCTGTATCTATCCAGAAAACTACTTATTTACCTCTTTCAAAGCTATACTTTTTAATAGTACAGAAAAAACAGACATCTATTAAGATGCTGCTATCCTGATCAATAATGTACCATTTTGCTCATGTTCTATCTCACTGCCCATTTGCTGTCCTCCTCTTATTCTTAGCTTGTAAGTCATGCAAGGTAGGGAACACTTCAACAGTTTAGCAGAGAGAGGAGGCAAGTGATTCACCTTTTACAGAAGGTAGAGAGGGCAGACATATAGTTAGGATAAATAAGAAAATCTGTATGCACCACTTTTTTTTTTTCCTGAGACAAAGAGACTTTTATTTATTGACATCCTTTAAAAATACCCCCAACATAAGTAGTATATACCTTGAACAACAGAATAAGTATAACTTAAACAACAGAAACTCATATTATGATATCTGCAAATAGCATAACTGGTAATGTTAAGTGATACATACAGAGGAAACACGGATAACGAGTGTATATAATATCTGTGGTTTAAAAAAACCTTAAACATACTCGTGAGAAACCTTAACCCTAATTATCACATACACACCCTAAGCTGTGTGCATTCATGTATGTAAGCACAAACACTGTCAACTACAATCTTTGGCTCATTATCAAAACAAACAGGTGGGACAGCTGTTTCACAATGCATCAGTGATGAGACTCCTTGTGTAACTTGGCTGGCTACTCACAGCCTCAAGCACCTACATTTTTTACTGTTTAGCTGTTGACAATCGTTAATATAAACAGTGTTTAAATTATACTTGTGTCCACAAGGCCTCTGAGCCCTAAGACTTAACCCACAACTCCAGAATACCTGTTGATGTGTATACAGTTGCCAGAACCTAAGTCCAGACATGAGTAAGGGCTTTCTGATGTTAAACACAAAGAACACCCCCCAAAAACTAGTAACTAACTAATAAAAAGGAAGAGATGCCAATCAGAAGCCAGCCCTATCTCATTCAGCCTGCTCCTCTAATCAGCACATCAGCAAAAAAGCAACTCAGAGCTAAGAGTAATGGCAATCTACTAAACAAAGTGATTTTTCTGTTAGCAAATAACCAGTTTGTTCTATGTAAGCTACTAGACTTAAGCAGCAGAATTTTAGGTAACTTGGAAACACGTAAGCTACAAAGGAAAAATCACAACTTCTAACGACTCCTCAATTAGGTAACACATAGTGACAATTACAGGTCCACTCATGAAACCTTAATTTTGCCATCACAGAAAAGGTATTTCTCAGTGGTCGTACAAATGTTATCTTGGCACTAAAATTTACTTAAAAGCAAGAGATATACACTTTCTTCAGCACCTGGGTGTTCAGAAATAACAGAACTTGGACAATGCATATATAAAACAATTTATGTAATTAGATTGTCTGCCTCAAGAAAGTGCATCTATAAGTTTATCCAGGGCAGGAATCTATAATCATGTATTTCTTTATCTTTGCGTCTATGATTTTTTTGTATAAACTGCAAAAATACAAACGCTATACATACATTTAGTTCAGGAATAAAAGAAAACATCCTTAGTTACAACAAGTGTATAGTATTAAAATAATTCCTATCCATCTTAAAAGTTTGAGGAATCTAGCTGTCACTATTTAAATATCAAGCTTAACCAACTTTAGCAGCATTGGAACATTAAGTATAACAGGCAATTTTAGTTTTGTTTGCAATTCACTTTCCAATGCAATGTACTGACTGCATTAGTAGTCTCTGCTGGCTTAAGACAATACATGGGAAAGATGCTATGCAACTTGATTCACTTCTTGTTATTAAAGATAAGAAGCACTGGAGCAAGAAGATGAGATATATATTAAAAAGTTAAAACTTAAACTTTCCATGTTTTCTGAATACAAACCAGTGCTACTTCTGGTGTGTCTGTAGTACTTTCATTAATGTAACAACAAGAGAAAATTTCTACATGTACATCTACTTACATTAAAGAACTTGGAGATTTCTTACTTGAACAGAACTCTTCAGAACTACTTCAAGAATTTGAATTTGTTAATTTTCTTTAAAGATACAATAACTAACAGCATAAATAATAAGTTTTAGGAGCTGGGATACATAGGTTAAACTTTTTCAGTAAGATGAAGATTTAAAAACTTACCAGAATATAGGTTTTTCCATTATCCCCTTTTACAGTGAATCTAAATGTGCTTTTAGCAGAGGATAATTCCGAAAGACACTGAGCAACCATGCTCTGCACAAATTGAGACCTATTTAAGAATGAACCACATATTATATGTTTTCATAAGAGTTAAATGGGCAAAGTCATTCATATCAATGCACTACAGATCCATGAGTATCTCCATACTGGCAATTTCACTATATCCCACAATTTTCTATTTCCTGCAACAGGAATTTTTTAACAGACCAGCATTCTAAATTGCTCCACATCCTTTATTTGGGCTGATACCAAAAGTCAAATGCTGAATAAAAGCTTTCCCTTTACACATGTGATCTTTACACAAATTTAAAAACGATGCACATATTTCAAATACAATTTACAAAAAGAGAGAACTGTGACTAATGGTAGTACATGATACAAGATAGATAGATCAGATTCTGTTTCATCTTAGTCTTAATTTAAAACTGAATTGCTTGAAATTTCAAAAATCTCAGTTCCAATTAAATATTTCAAGCTTTACTTAATTTAACTTTACATGATGTAACCTTCCATTTCCATAATTAGTCATCAGACGTCATGTAAGCTTAAATAGTTCAAAAAATAAGTATTTCATTTTGGTTTATCATCTGAATAGTGAGAGACTGTGACAAATTATACACAATCTCTCTCCTGTGTCACACACAAAGACAAGCAAACAGAACTGTATATAGATGAATTCAAACTACATTACCTTTACAATGCTTAATTCTGGGACGATTACGTAAAATTGCACTGTTAATTATATGTAATTATTCAAGAAACTATAACATTAGGGCATTTCTAGCATCCTTTCTAAAACATACACATGAGCAAATTACCTGATTTTTTTTTGTTACCTTGGTATTGGGCTGAAACTTCCCTCAGATGGTTGAATAATCACCTCGGTGACATAATATTTAATGGTATCTAAAATGACAAAAACATTTTTGAAGTATAATAGAATAACCAACTTGTTAAGATTAGACTATAAGACAACCTATCGCTAAACTAATTAAACATTTGTTCAGTACTCCATTAAGAAGTGCAGCAGACGGTCAAATTCTGCTTTGGTTTGTAGGAGGTGAAGCAACCATAACAAAAAACCTACATTGCCTGAAGAAAACTGTTCTGAGCTAATTACATGATCAGCAATTTATCATTCATATTGATCTTTGTTAACGCTGGGAACAATCACCTTGAAACAAAGCAAGAGCTCAAGCCAAACCTGAAAGATGAATTGAAAGGACTTCCTTAAAGCACTGAGATCAGCATAGCTTACATAAGTATTTTAGTACCCTCTGCTGCTCAGTAATGCTGCAGTGAATCACAAGAGACAGTTTTAATAACAGCAGACACAGGGGAATAATTTTCTTCTTTGCTTAAAGAACAGAATGGAACTTCTTTCCAAAAATCACACTTACTCAACACTAGCACTGCATCCATTCTGAGTTTCAACGTTCACCAAAAGCTTCACTAAGACAGCCTTTAACACTAAATGTAAGTGTTTGAGGACATAATTTAATCCCCATCAATAAAGTCAGGTCAAAGACGATCATATTGAAGATCTGGGTCTACGCTGCAAACATAGCCTATGAGAGGGCCAGCAAAACAGGTTAAATATAGAGAGTAATAAATACATTCTACTAAGCCTTAGCATGTGAACAGCTGGAAGATTCATCGGTTCCATAAATTTTAAGGGTGAAAAGGATCATCTCATCTGATCTCTGTCCACACATACCATTAAAACTAGATGAAAGTAAGCATTTCAGGAAAACACTTAATGTGTTTTAAAGATTCCAAAGGCTTGGTAATCCAATCCCTTCTCTAGATAAGTACTAGATAACTTTTTAAATTATCTTCACTGTTAGGAAATTATATTTTACCTCTAAGTTTAACTTAGTCTTCTCCACGCTGTACTAGTCCGAGGAGACAGGAGGAAAATAAAGTTCAGTCCCTTTAGTTCCTCACCCATTACCCTGACTAAGGAATTAGTGCTACTGCTACAAAGGTATTGAGAATTCAGGAGATGTTTGCTAGGAGAGAGACAGAAGGTGTGATTTCCCAAGAAAAAAATCATACAAGTGTCTGTGGGTAGAGTTAGGGAGAAATTCAAATCCAAATGTGGCCTCCACAGGTACACCACTCTAATCCTGCTTTATCGTCAAGGCACCGATATCTGCTCAGGAGGAAGTACCAAACCGTGACAGTCAAGTTTGCCCTCTAGTCCCCTTTTCACAGAGATGGTTCTGCCTAGACTTATACCATATATTGCTGGTTAGTTTGTCTGTGCTTTGAACTCTACCTAAATTTCCTACAGTACTGAAGAAGCGTGGTCAAAACAATGGATATGCTATCTAACTTCAGCTATGTGCAGAGTCCACGTCAAATCCATGCACAGTGTTTGCCTTTACCTATTCCCACCGATTATATCAATCATATCAATTACTGGGTGCTACAACCATCTGAAGGCTTAGATTAAGGCATCTATTACTCATGACCCTATTATTCATGCTCTTTTCCAAGCACTCCTTTCCCAAAGTCACATCCTCCTTTGGAGGCTTTCAAACATTTTACCTTAAATTTGGTTTTATTAAAGCCTGTGTTGTTCAGATCCCTGTACAGGACAATCAGAACGTTCTGTACAGAAGACCTTCTGTCTTGCATCACCTCGTGACTTACTTCTAAAACAGGCTTTGCATTTTCTGAGAAGTTTTTACATTCACCAGATCTCTGAACTGAAAGAGGCTCACACTGACAGATGCAGTGGAGTAGAGGGAAAATGAAAGAATGAACCCTGCTACTAACAGTCTTATCATTGCTTCTCTCCTGTTAATAGCTGAATTTTAAATACGACCAGATCTTTAGACTACTTCTGGTAGACCCTGCTGATTCAGTATAATTACACTTTTAAACCATCATCTCATCATCAAACGAGGATGAGACATAACCTGCTTCTTTGACAAGGCTTTCTTCCCACAAAATCAGGCTGTTAGCAACCATATCTTCAGCTTCTAGTTCTGTGTTGATCAAGTTCTGAATTAGCCTCTCAATTATTCTGGAGAACTGACAGGAAAATAAACAACCTGTAATTTCTCAAGGTTCCTTTTTTACCGAGCTTCCTAATAAACTGGAATCATGCACTGAGTCTTCCAAAGCTTTAAAATTAGCCAAATATGCCACAGAAACAAGGCTGAGGAAAATCCCTGCTGAAAGTCACTTTCAAGGTCTAACAGTGGAATAAACAACCTCATCTGTTCCAGAAGGAAATGGGATGAACACACAGGAATCAGCCTTGCAGCTACTGATAAAACTACCTTCCTTCAGAGTTTTTAACCTCCAGTGCTCAATGGTTGATGCAGTCAAGTCTAGTTTTGTTTGCACACTCATACCTGACGATATTGTTTCTCCCAGCATTTTCTTGCAGCGCTTACAAATTACTCTGGTATTTTCCTTTGATTTCTGTAGGACAAAGAAATATCATTTAAATGTCTCTGATATTCTGAAAAAGGAATGCATAATTGTAATATAATCTACAGAGTAGACAGTAAACTTCATACTTCTTTCTGTTCTCTTTATGTTTACGTGCACACAGATTTGCCTTCACTACTTCAGCTCTCTATAGCTGGACTTGCTTGCAAGTTTCATACTAGTTTTAAAATCTGGCAATATATCCTGACCTCACAGCAAAATAATGCACATGAAAGGAAGTACTCCATAATATATACATAAAATAGTATGATGCAAAGTGAATACCATTACTCAGTAAAAAGTTCTAGCCACTCTGGACAGTTTTATATGAGTCAAATACCAGTTCAACATTCAGCAGATAGTACAAAATGTCCACAGACTGTTTTGAATTACTAGAAAAGAGCTGAAGAACACAATATAGCATGATATTCCAGAAAGATGCAGTCTATTCTGTTCTTGAACAACCTTTCTCCCTCAATTCAAGCAGAAACAGAAAAGGTATTGACATATGTGGCAAGAAAATACATGTAATAGAAGGAAGCACAGAAGACAGAAAACTGAGGGCTATCACTGAGATACATAAAATCACTAATGTTTAGGAAAAGCTGAATAGAAAGAAAAAAACATTTGCTCTCATAGCTCGTGCCATAAAATTTTAGAATCACAGCATCAACTAGGTTGGAAAAGACCTCTGAGATCATCGAGTTCTGTTTGCATCAAAGAAAAGGAAAGCATTTGTCACACAATGCATAATATAGTTTGGTACTCACTATAGGAAAGTATTTTTCATAGTGAAAGTATACACAAGTTCAGAAAGTCTTCAAAAATTCAGAGGAAATGTTCATCAAGGTCTTATTAAAAATAAAAAATGTGGATAACAGTATTTAGTTCAAGGAGTCTCTACAATCTCCAAAACATAACTCAATACTTGCCTTACTCTTATGTATCCATTACTGCCCTTTGAAAAAGATCTCCTTTCAGCATGAAATCTGCCCTATAACACTCTTGCTAATTACAGTGTTAATATTTAAATTCAGTATCAAACAAGTAAACACAACTCCTGCTTTAATCCAGAGTCCAAAACTGGTTCTGTGTGGGCTTATTAACCTGGATGTAGCAGGCTACAGCTCTGGTCTGAAAGCAGTACATATATATAATGTCTGTAATGGTCACAAATGACTAATCAAACTAAATGGCCCAGGGAGAGCCCAAGAGCTGACTACGTTGGAACTACAGCCCCCTTGTTATGGAGATTAGAAGAAATATCTGGTTCATATATATATGCAGTTACCCCCTTTCCCAATTCCCACCTTGTTACTCCTCTCCAACATACACAGTAAAATCACTTGCTTGAAGTGAAAAACAAGGATAAGTAGACAAGGTTTTGTGAATACCAGTATTTGAGACAGGTACAAATACTGCACAGTACAAGTATAGAATATATACAGTACTTCCTTGAAAGCTACAACTTGAGTATTTTTTTCTGACTACAGTTACAGATGCTGGCTGAGAATTGTGCAGTACGGTACTAAAAAAACACCACTACCTCATTGGATCATGCTTCAATGGAAAAAGCAACAGTTCTAGCTTGACTAATTAAATCAATATATCTATTTGACAACTTGCAGCTGCTGGCAATCTGCAGGTGGAGGTGGATCACAAGCCTAATATTTTCTGTTTCTATTCCTAAGGATCCCTGATACGGTGTCAGGGAAAAAGAGTTTCCCCAGGAGATACTATTAGGATGCTGCAATACCATGTGACATTTAAAAACTATGTTACACTGGAAGACTAATAGATGTGAAAAATATGTTTGCAGTGGACGGATGCTGTCTTGGTCCCACTGGAGTCTGGAAAACATTGTTTAAGCATCTCTGGTACATTCCTGCTACTATTTTGGTCATAGGCAAACACTTCCGAAAGAACTGCAATGCAATTAGAAAAGAACTTTCATACTGGGGCAGGCTGCAACAAAATTATCTGAAATGAGAACATTTATGCCAATAGCAATCTGTCTTGCTTGTAACTTTCTATTACTTATATTATGGAAGAATTTTCTCCTTCAGCATGAGGGTTTTTTCCTTATTAGTCCAGTTTCTGCTGGATCTTAGAGTTTTGCTCATTTGCTTGGCAACTGAGTGATGCTGGAAATAAGCAAACACAGAAATGAGAATTCACTGCTAGTACGAAAGATGTAGAAAGAGGGATTTGACACAAACAAGCAACACATTCTCAATTATTTATTTTTTAGCTTTATAAAGACTTGGGAAAATCGGAATGTGTTATGGTTTCAGATGTGGCTGTCTTACATTCCTAGGACACAGAGAGGACATTGAGTTTCTTTGACTGTTCTGTCTAGAGAAGAGGACCTGACATCCCACGTTATAGCTCTTTCTGAGGCATTTAAGGAAGCAAACATGAAAATTCATTACACTCAACTACTATAGTATGCCTCTGACATAAAACAGCCTTCTCCCTCATTTAGAAGTCCTTCTGTTATCCTGGTGTGACTCACATCTCGGTAACATCTTTTCTGTAACATCTTGTTCTGCATCCTTTTATTATGTGTTTGTCTCAAAACCAATCCTTTGTTGCCAGACATTCTCTTTGACTGATGAAGAAGTGGGCAATATGAACTCCACACACCCTGCCTCTTCCCATATTTGTTCCCGTTCTTCTAAGATCTCTTTTAAGACTGATGAAATGTGAGAATTCATTTTGGGGACCTCTGGCAGAAAGCATTGTCCTCTTTGAAATTCATAATCTTCTACTCCACCTCCTTCTTAAGGAAACTTAGAAGAAATAACTCCAATTGTCACAGAGTTAATCCAAATTAATCTGCTTCTCCCATGCTGATATCCTTTCAGGGTACCAGTCCTTATTTTCCCCTCCCCATATTCTGCTTTTCAAAGAACAATGGAACAAGAAACGAAGGGGACCACAGCAGTAAGAGCTGGAGATATGGACTATAGGACAAAACTGTTCCCCAGGCATTGCACCAGCAACCACTGAATTGTGAGAATTTTACTGGGGATAATACAAATCACTAATAAGCAGCAGCAGCAGCAGATGGAAATCAGGGTCTCTGGTGTTAGTTCTCAACAGATTAAAAGTTTCACGCTGGGAATCTGGATATAGAAAGTCATCAGTTGTTACAGACACAAACTGCCAAGGTTGCAGTGGTTCCCATAATTGTAGAAGGATTTCAATAGTTAGGTTTAATACTTGGTATTGTGAGAAAATACGGCATCTTCAGGCCCAACCATTGTCAGCATAAATGCAGACAAGCTTTATGGAAATGTAGGCTTTGATGAACTAAATTCCTGGATGTTCTTCTGGCAGAAGAAAAGATTACTGCTTGAAATTTTATACACGTGCTATACCTCCAGGACGAGTAAAGCACTGAATTTTCTTTCTTCATGGGTTTTATCCCGCCATTGAAACATCAGCATCCCTAAAAATGTTTTTTCCCTGGAAACAACAAATTTTGACATTTCTGAGCCAAATGATAGTCTTCTTCCTAGAGACTCAGTTGATGAATATATCCCATCCTGGAACACCTCAGAAACATCCACACAAAGAGCTATAATGTGACATGGCAGGCCCCCTCTCTAGACAGAACAGTCAAACAAACTCAATTTCCTTCTAAGAAGACAGCCACATCTGAACCCATAACACATTTCTAAGTCTTTCTAAAGCAAAAAAAAAAAAAGAAAAAAATTCCCACCTTCCTGTGATCATATTTATGGTTATGCATCCAGTCATAGTTTGAGAAGAAAAATAATTGTTACTCCAGTTTCCTCCTCATTCTTTGCTCCACTATCCTTTGACAAACACCTAACCCATTACAGTTATTATCTTACTAAATTTCAATGCCCTTCTGCCCTTCACTCGGGATATTTCTGGGGGAAAACTTTTGGGTTTAGAACTGCATAAATGTAAACCTTCTAATTCAGTTTATAGGACAAAGGTCTTCTTGCATATCTAGGTCAATATCAAGACTGTACTATGAGATTAAAAAAACATAAAACATAGCATAGAATATTTTCTGGCTTCTGTACAACTGGATGTCAAAAACTCTCAATGACCTTCAAAACAGCTTTGAAATACATACAAGTTAAACAAGCCAGGAAATAAAAAAATCTACTTTATAATTAAAAAAGTCTAAATGCCTTCACCTGAGAATTATATTAAAAAAATACTTTACCAAGTTGAAGCCACTCTGCGAAGCATGGTGTCCAGTCTCTGAGCAGCACATGAGAGATTCAGGCACATGTGATTCATTTCCTGAATTCAACATAAAAAAAGTGTCTCCAAGAAAACAGTCATCATGCTGAGGGTGCAAAGCGCTTCTGGCAAAGGGGTTAGGGTGACAACACCACTCTTCAACTAAATCATTCCAGTTTTCACTTGGTAGAGGAAGAACTCTAAGAAATTTCCTAAGAGGGAACAAGAAACAAACATTTCAATATATTATAGTTCTTTTCTAAGATACTAAAAGAGAGCTTAGACTCCTGACAAAGAGGGGGAGGAAGGAGAAGTATGGCATTTTCTCAAAAGAAATACTTGACTCTCTTTTCAGTCAAAGGCACTTTCTTTGGGTGAATTCTGAGAAAGCCATGGCTGAGTGTTTCCTGCCAAGTTTGTGATAAAACATTTCCCAAGGGTGAATCTGAAGGGATTATAAGGCAGAATTTGGTATAGTCTTATCTTATCTTATTCATTTCAATGAATCATATGTCAAAAATAAAACAGTTCCACCCAATCATGCAAAATACAGCAATGGGCATTTTGCAATTACACTTATTATTACTTGCACCAAATGTTGATATAAAACCAACAGAAACAGACTCATGCCACAGCAAGATTCAGCATGTACTTTGAAGCCCTTCAGAGTCAGATACCAGACTTTGAAAAAGGTAAATCCTGACAAAAATACCACAGTACATCTTCGTTAAAAAAACAGAAACAAACAAAACAACAAACAAAGGATAATGCAATCTTAATTCAGATTCCAGTACTCAGATCCACCTTTCAGAAGTCACATTAAAAAAAACACAAATCCCTTTCTCCTGGGTAGCTGTAGGACCAAGGATGCTGCTTCAGGACATACCAGACTTTGCCTCTGTTATCAGTTGCACTGGGTTTGCATTTTCTGCTCTCTGCCTAGTTTCCTTAAATGCTTTCCTTTTTTCCCCTAGTTATTCTGCTGTCACCTGAAACTTTTACACAGAGTTTCTTGATTCTACTTCTTACTTTAAACTTGCAAATACGACTTTGCTTATGGTACTACTCTGCAAATAAAAATACAGCTGCTAAGCCAATAGCTGGACATCCTCCCTTTCTTGCAGTTCCCAAACTAATCTTTTCTGAGGATGTCAATTCTTCCCATTGTAGTTTCTTGTCCCTTTTGAATTGTTCAATAAGTAAAATCTTTTATCAAAAAATCCTTCCTTCTAGATCGACAATACATTTTAAACTGTGCTTGCCCTACCTGCAGGTGAAAGTTGGAATAACTCGTCCTCTGATCCAGCTTTACCATGACTAAGATAACCTCTCAGCACTACCCATCTCCATCTTCATTTTCTGTGTTCTTATGTATTGCCTGAGATACAACCCAATACTGCCAAGGTGAGACTTTAATTCTGGTACTAGCCTAATGACTCATTCTTCACCAGCCTTCACAACTAGTTCCAATGCCTGGACTCACACTGTAAATAAAAAACTACGAATTGCTCTTCACACTAAAGAACAAATAGCTGGTATTTCTCAGCAATGTTTTTACAAAACTTACAGGAGAAAAAAAAGCCAGAGACTACCTTAAGCTGCATACTGAAGCTGTCTCTATTCATTACATCACCCTTTCTTTACTCTCACAGTCTAGAGCACCAGGATCTTCACTTCTTTTCCAACAAAAGTAGTTGCTCCAACCAGTAGGAATTTCCTAAACAGACTCTCTTAACTTTGAGCTGTACCGAAAATACAGCATTTCCACTACATTTTAGGCTTTCACCACTCATAGGCAGGAAGCCATATCCTGCATCATCAGAACTGGAAAAATGTAACACTAACGAAAATGTAGTTTTCTGGAAAAACAAACAAACAAAAACAACTTGAGGTTCTGGGTTCTTGGGTGCTGACTAAGTTGAGGCTGCTAAACACAGTGACAAAACCTAGCAGACAGGGGGACTTATGTCCCCAAACTTGCTCTTAATAACAACTGAGATTCTACTTAAAAATAGTCACCCAGGCTGCCTTCATGGTCAGAGCAACAAACAATTTTTAGGTTGGGACCTCTCCCCTGTCCAGCTGAGGAGGGGAGTAACAGAGCAGCTTTGGTGGGTACCTGACATCCACCCACCACAAACCTTTAAGAATTTCTTCATGACTGAAATAAAGCCTTAAAGAATTATTTTATATATGAGCTATACTTAGCCCACCTGGAAGGAGAGAAAGAAAAATGAAAGCATCTCAAATTCTTTGCAGTTCTTACATCGTGGAAGAAAACAAAAATCTAATCACTTCCTCTAACATGGATAATGTGAGAGTAATGGAGAAGAATCAGAGAACATCCCCCTAACCTCTGAAGAACAATCAGATTCAAAGAAGGAAACAGACTGAACCAGAGGATTTCAGAAAATGCATAGTCAATTTTTTTGCACCAAGGAAGGTTTACTTACATTTAAACCATTCCTAATATATTTCTCTAATCCAGACTTCAAAATGATGGCTGCTTACACAGTCTTTAACAGTAAAACATAAGCTTTAGAATAGGTTTGTGGCAGGTTTGGATTTTTTGTCATTTTTAACCTGAGTTGTTCTTGCTTCAGCTGAAGACTACTGGCACCTCCTTTGCATTAACTTCTTTGATATTGGAAGAGTCTTATGTCTTCTCCACAACTTTATCTAAACTAAATCCCATTTATTTCAATTTATTCTCAAAGATATCATCTTCTAGATCTCAGGTTTTTCTTATTACAGATCCTTTTCTAGGAATTTACATTTTAATAAGTTCTCCTTCACACAGTTATGTAATTTCAATCCCTCCACCTGTGTTGCCACTGTCATACTTAACTCTCCCCAAAGAAATGAACACATGAATTTAGTAGCTGAAACTTCTGACTATGCTACTCTCTCCCTTTTGGAAATGCTGGGACAGAAGGTGTTGGATACACTGGCAGTTCCACTCTTCTACTCTTGTCTTAGTCTTTTTTATTGGCAACAATCAAGGGGCTCAGAGGTTCCCTGCAAGAAGAAATGCCAAGTAAAGAGCCATGAACACGCATTTTTTTTTCCTTTCTCAAAAATTCTGCTTGCATTATATTATAGGATTCAGAACCAAAAGATTTAAACTCCATGCATATGAATTTGATGTGCTGAAATTCAAAAAACACCCACTGAGATATGAAAATATAAAAGTGCAGTATGTTTTGAAAGCAAACACTACTGACTAGAAATTAGAAGTTTCACTACTCTGCAAATGTATCAAAATAAGAGTTATTACTAGATTTTCTGATGAGAAAGAGAATTTCTGATTTCAGAAGAGAAAGCCAAAAAAATCCTCATTCAGTTACATTCAGGCTAGCCATAAGTCTACACCTATGGCAAGAAAGTAACAAAGTATTAGAAGTCACACAGATCACAAGAGGCTGTAAGCACATCTGTAACAATTCTTATATATATATATATATATATATATATACACAACTGAAGCTGTCAGAATTGTTCATCAAAAGAGCCAGATAATGCAGCTTTTTTACTGAAATTCTCATTCACTCTGCAGACTTCGTAAGGAACAGAGACGAGGCCAAGTCACACCTCTAAGACAGAGCTCCCGTGTTCTCCAAATTCAGCAGCCCAGAACTATGTGGAGGTAGGATTTAACAGATAGAGGGCAGCTGTGGTCAACAATCCCCATTCTGAGCAGCCACTCTATAATTACAGCACAACGACTGAAGAAAATTTACAAGATACTGCAAAGAACAGAAGAGGATGCCTGAAGTGCAGAGGAAGAAAGAAATCAAGAGTTAAATGAATGGTTAAAAACTGCTTCAGGTGATTTTGCTTTTTGTCATTCATAGTGCTTCAAATGTGTTCTTCTCTATCAATTTCAAAACAAATAACTTTTAGCATCCTCTAAGTAGACAAAATAAGGTGAATACGAATCACTATGGCACTTATTGCTATAAATACAAGACACTGCAGTACTCACCGGTCTTTTACTATGATGTCACCACAGGACTGACAGTAAAAGACGTATTTCTTGTGGGGTTTCAGGCTTTCCCTCAAAGTAAAAGCCAGATCTATTAATAAAAGCAAACATATTAATCTTCAAAAAACTGTGTAAAATTTTCAGTCACTTGTACAGAAAAATCCTGCCAAATACCTCAAACCAAGAAAGAGAAATCTAACAAACAATGCAAGATGCTGACATTTGAAACACAACCTTCATTTATTTACCTGTAGAAACAAGTATCTAGATTGAAGAAAAACTTGCCATCTCCACCTCATGCTTCATATTGCTGAATAGGAACTGTATATGTGAACAATAATTTTCAAGGTGCAAATCCTCTCCACAGGGGGAGTTGAGATATAGATATCATTAGAGAGATTGTATAAATCAAAATTCAGTGCCACTCTTTTGTAATGATATTTCTGATACTCAATGTCTCTGCAATATGAGGATACACCCCAATACGTAACACGAAGTAGTCAGGACAGGGAGCAGAGGGAGGCACCAGTTTTAAATTTTCAGGCATATAAGAGGCCAGCCACTGTAGCACCAGTCCAGGAAAAGATAGTGAGCAACGGCCTCTGCAGGCCAGCAAAGCAAAAACAGTCTCACAAAAGCCTGCTCAGACAACTTTTCCAAATTAAAGAAGAAGCTATAAAAGCCTCCGCAAATTATCCAACAATATTAAGTGGAAGAAAAGTAAGACTTTAAGCCAAGCTCTATGTATGAATATGTTCTGCATCGCCCACTTTCTCAAATTTAAGAACCAAAGTATATTCTCAGCACTGGCATTCAGTACTTAAAATTTAGGATTCAACCACAAGAGAAAAGTACTTTAAAAGGTTCCAGAATTTCATGTAAGAGACAACTGGTTTTGCATAACAATATTAGCATTAAAGGCTAACTAAGATTTTCCAATATATACGTTGATTACCATCTTGTTCACAGACACGTTTTTCACTAGTATGAATTTCCAAGGTAAATTTTTAAAACTTCATCACTGGTCTCCTCAAGCATGTCTCATTAATAGGACACACTAAATAATTTCAGTATAATCGAATTTTTAAAGCACATGCATAATTACAGATTAACGTAAAGATGCAACCTCAGCATATCCTAAAATCAACAGAACATTCCAGTGGGTTTCTGGTGCTGAAATCATTACTGTATATCACATACTTTATTGGCCATTTCTACTTTAAAACCACAGAATGGCAATTCTGTGTTATTTAATATATCTTTCTGCGTCACATCATATGCCATGAATCTAAACATATTGAGCTTCAATGCCAGGACGAAAGAAAGCACCAGCTGTACTACCATGCTTTCTATTTATTGCAAAGACATCCTAGACCTGAATTAGCAACATGGAAGTAAAGAAGGTAACTTTGCAGATTTTACCTATGCCATTAACCTATGCAAACCCCAGCTATGAGAACAAAGAGCCTCAACACAAACCCACAATCCTTTATGATTAAGCGGTCAGGGATGGACAACCTTAGTCTGATAGCCTGGATGAATCAGATTACAGCATTTTTGTAGTGACAGGACAAGGAGTAATAGGTACAAATGGAAAGAGGGGAAAATTATGTCACATAATAAGAAAAAATTCCTTATTGTGAGACACCCAGAAGAGGTTACCTCCAGTGGACGCCCCATTCCTGGAAGTGTTCAAGGCCAGGTTGAATGAGGCCTTGAGCAACCTGGTCTAGTAAGAGGTGTCTCTGCCCATGGCAAGGAGGGGTTGGGACAAGATGATCTTTAAGGTCTCTTCCAACCCCTTAATATTTTATGATTTTCAGCTACTAAACATGAAACAGGAGAGAAATGAAATAATTTGGAAATACTACAGGGAAGCACAGGTGGAGGAATTGATTCTCAAAACTCCTACAGCCCACGTTTTCCTTTTGTTACGTCATTCTAATTGCACTTCAATATTTTAAAAGTGACAAGTCCATTAAGATTTTCTCAGTTCCTATTTACACCTTCAAGTCAGAGCTAAGACAGCCTTTGAGAAACAGCAACAACACACACTCGGTGCGAACCACCGGCTTCAGGCTGAGGGGCGGACTGACAATGGGAAGAATCAGGGGCGTTTTTTCTATAGAACCCACACTACAAAGCCTTTCAGTTGAACCCGCGCCGTTTCCCACCCCCCTCACAACTTTTTGGATGGCCGGCCCAGCCGCGCCCCCGCCCCGCCCTCACCCGGCAGGGGGCGGAGGGCGGCCGCAGGCGGCATGCGCAGCGTGCAGTCCTCCCGAGCAGGCGGCGGAAGCCCGCGGCACGAGGGACGGCGCCAGCCTGACCCCTGCCGGCAGCGCTTTGCCGGGGCGCGGCTCCCGCCGCTCCGCACTTCCAGGGAATCCGCTGACACCGACACCTCCACCGGCGTGCCTCGATCCTCCGCCGACGCGCTGGGGAGGAAAAGGAACGGCGTTGGCCTCCGGAAGGGGCCGTCAGGCCGAGCTGCTGCTTGACACGGGCCGGCCTGCAGCTCTCCCGCGGCCCGAGTCGCGCCCCGGAACCCGTGCGGTGAACCGAGGTCTCTCGTGGGAGCGGGGAGCAACCGAGAGAAATAAACTGCCGTTCTCAGGAAGCATTTATTTGCACACTAGCCCGGGCTGTGCCGAGCCGCACAGGCAGACGAGAGCGGAGGGAGGCGCCCGTACACAACCCGTTCCCCCTCGCTCAAGGCTCGGGACGCCAAAAGCCAAGCCCGCCGTCCCCGCGCCGCGCCCCCGCCTTCCCCGCACGGCCCGAGTGGCGGCGGCGGGCAGCGCCCCCGCACTACCGGATAACCAGCAACGCGCTCTGCGTCCCCCGCCTGATCTCCATGAGGAACCCTCCCGCCATGCCGGCACGCGCAGCTCCAGGCACCCCGCAGGAAGCGGCCGCTCTCGCGGCCGGCGCAGGCGCGATGCCCCCTTTCCCGTCACAGCGCCGCCTGCATGGAATCATCATAGAATGACAGAATCCTGTAAAATCACCTAGTCTGAACGTCCTCCCAGCACTACCACTGTAATCCCTACACCCCTAAACCATATCACCAGAGCCTGATCCAGATGCCTCTTAAACAATCCAGGGGATGGTGACTCCACCACCTCCCTGGGCAATCTATCCAAGTACCTCGCCACAGTAACACAGAAAAATTTTTTTCTAGTATCTAATCTGGATCTCGCCTGTCTCGGTTTAAGGCCATTTCCTCTTGTCCTTTTACTGAACACACAGTAGAAGAGACTGGCCCCCACAACCTCCTTTCACGCAGTTGTGGAGAGTGATGAGGTGCCCCCTGAGCCTCCTCAAGACTAAACAAGCTTGCTGCTCCTCAGCTGCTCCTCATAAGACATGTTTTGTAGACCCCTCACTATCCTTATTGCCCTTCTTTGGACACACTCCAGCACCTCGATGTCCTTTTTAAAGTGAGGGGCCCAAAACTGAACGTAGTACTCGAGGTGCAGCCTCACAAGTGCCACTTCCCTAGTACTGCTGGTTACACCTGGGCACACTGCTGGATCATATTGAGCCGGCTGTCACCCAGCACTCCTAAGTCCCTTTCTGCTGAACAGCTATTGCCAAACAGTGTTTGCACACTGCCAAGGCCTCTTTGGTGTCTTCCTCTGAACCCCCCAGTAAGTAGGCTGGTGATGGGCAAGAGGCTGGGGCAGGGGGAAAGGTAGGATAGCTGACTTGAATTGACCAGTGATATTCCATAGCATGTAATGTCATGCTTGGCAGTCAAAACTGGAGGGTAGTCTTTCCAAAGTGGCCATTGCTCAGAGACTGGCTGGGCATCGTTGGTCTAGTTGTGGGAGGTGGTGAGTGATTGTATGTTTGGTTGGGGTTTTTTTTAAACTCTGTTCTTCACTTACTAAATCGCTATCTCAACCCACAACTTTTCTTGCTTTTGCTCTTCTGGTTCTCCCCCTGTGCAGCAGTGAGCTAGCAGCAGGCTGGGGTCACCCCACCACACCTGCAAAGTTCAGACTGAGCAGAGGCCTCTGCTGAGCCAGGCTCCCCAGTCAGCACTGGGCACTGTGTCCTGTGGTGTATCACTGCACCACCACTTACCTCCTGCCTTGGGAACAAACCCCTCTCCGCCCTTTCTCACAACTTTACAAGTCTGCCTGAATTCCTCCTAGTCCATGTTCACCCAGCTCTTGAATGCTGTCACATTGCACTCATAACAACTGGACACTCAGCAAAAGCAGCTGCTGCTCTGGGGTGAGGCTTCCTACTGCCTCTCATGAGGTCTTTTATCAAGAGACCGTAAGCCCACTCTGACACCCCTGTGTGACTGTTCTTAGCTTATGAGCACTGTCACGACTGCAGACTTCATCCAGCATGCCAGCTTCACAGTATATAGGAAGCTGATGGTCAGTATTCAAGGACACCAAGGAAAGAAGCTTTTGCTTTGAAACAAGGAGTGTTTCTGCATTGTTAACTGCTTACTTTTTATGAAAGTCACAAGACCCTCTGCAGTTGCAGTTAGTTGAAAACATGATCTGTAAAGCTTTAAGCAAAAAAGCAAATTTGCACATGCTAATTTTACAGCAATTTACTATAGAAGTCATGATTACTTGGAAGTATTCTTAGTCCTTGGAGTTATCAATACCAAGTAGGAGAGTCCCAAAGAAGCAGATGGAACAACGTTAGATTTTGTGGGAAAAATACAGGAGATAATAGTCAACTCAACTGTCTCAACCAAGTTTTGTTGTTTTTTACAAAGCATGGATTTATTGGAGAATTCTAAAATGCAGAGTATACTGTCTACATGCTGTTTGGAGTGTGGTGTTTGGGGATTTTGCTGTTGTTTCCTTTTTTAAGGAAGAAAAAAATTTGGACCACATGGTGGCTTTTATTTCCAATTACTTCACAAACCAATGTACATATTACGGGTTAAATTGTTCTGAGCAAGTATGTCATACATCAAACATAAAATCCATGTAATTATTGGAGAATTGACTCCTAGGATTAGTAAACGGGCCTTGGGCCCTGACTTCAGAAGGACTTACACAAGGCTACCAAGTTATGAATAATGTGAAGTATTTGCAGGGTGTGAGCTTCATTTATACAAAATTGTTTATTATGGGTTTCTCACCATTTCTGCTGTGAAATAATTACATAGAAAGGAAGGTAAATATCCTACAGAGTGAGTGCACCTAGCATTAGTGGTGCATCCAGAACATTATTCTGACGTCAATGTCAGTAAAAGGAGATCCTAGTAGGGAAGAGCTCTGTAGTGTGGTCACTTCCTTGATGTGTCTCACTGTATTAGGGATGCTGGAGGGTTCATCTCTGCCCAGTTCCTTCAGTGTCCACTTATGGATGTGTTTGTCATCAATATGAATAATGCCTCCTTGGACCTACAGATATTGTCAAAGTCCCCAGTCCCTGGTGCCTATACGTTCTAGAAGTTCACAATCTGCTTAGCAGAAAAGCATTTTCTGTGCCTCCTCATTCTTATACTGTGGGATTTGGTTTACCCCAACTTTGTTATCTTTCATGATTTTGTAGATTTTGATCAATCCTCCTCCCTGCCTTCTCTCTCTACATAGAGCAGTCCCAGTTGTTATTGCTCTCGCTGTAAGACAACAGCGACATATCTCTGCTGTGCCTTTCCCAACTTCCCTACACCCCTCTTGAGCCATGAAGACAAGAATTGATGCAGTAATCAATCTGAGGCTGTGCCAGCCTTTTATATAGCAGCCAAACAACTAGCCTCGTCTTGTTCTCAATATTCTTCCCAGCAACGTACAATGTTTTATGGGGGTTTTTTTTGTGCCACTGCACATGAAGTCGATAAGACAATTTCAAAGAACTGTTTGGGAGCTCTGAACTGTAACTGCCTCTCCTACATTCAGCACAAGGGAAGCTTAGGAATCCAACCACCCTGCAGTGCAGCAGCATGTGAAAGCTCCTGGTCAGTTATTGACAGTGCCTTCCTGTCAGTGATGTTCACCATTGTTAAATAGCTCCAAAAGCACCACCAATTGTAGTTACAATTACCTGTAAATGCATTTGTAAGTCTGTTCAATGAAAAAGAAATTTAAATGCACCATCTTAATTAGAAATACATGACACGTAGAGTCATATTCAATGCCTCAGAAAACCAGTGGGAATTGTCAGCTTTCCAAAAAGTAACTGTTTCTCATCTACCAATTCCTGGTATAGCTTAATGAGAAAAGGAATAGCATTTCCTCTT